AGAAATACTTTAGTGTCTATCCCTCAGAGAAAAGAAAATGATGCTTTAAAAAAAAAAAAACATAATCACAGTACTCTTATCACAACTAAAAAATGATCAATAATTCCTTAATATCAAATATCCAGTCAATGTTTAAATCTCCCTGATTTTATTTTATTATATATATTTTTTCGTATACACTTCTTATTATATATATTTTAATGCTGGTTTGTTTATACCAGGATCCATACAAAATTGAAGCGGTGTTTTAAAAACACTGCGCCCAGGGCTCCTTCTCCTTCAGGGATTCTGACTTAATTGGTCTTGGGTGGGGCCCAAGCGCCAGCGTTTTGAAAGCTCCCCAGGTGGTTTTAATGTGCAGCCAGGGTTGGAAAATGCTCTCTACCTTTCCCCCCACCAGTTCCCTGCCAACTCCTCCGCACTCAGGCCGTTAACTCCTTCCTCCTGTATCTGGCCTGCAGACCTGGCAGCTCCCAGAGCGGCGTCACTAACGTGCCTGCTTGGACAAGTGGAGGCCCCTCCTTCCAGGTGGACCCAGCACGCCTTGTCCCTGCAAATTCCTATCCCATGTGTACCTCCTCCTGTTTCTTTCTCCCCTAATATGCCCGGTGCTTGTTCTTGCCTTGCAAGCATAGACGATTTTTTTTTCCCCGTGAAAATAGCAAAATTCCTGCCTCAGGAAAAAGTGCGAACTTCCCCAGGGGCTGCACTCATTTGGCTGCTCAAGTGGCTAAGCCGCGCTGGAGCCGAGCGGGGCCTGCTGGGGACTTGGCAGCAGATGTGAGGAAAACTGGCGATTTGAGTGGGACTTGAACCCAGCGCTTTTGGGGGAATCTAAGAAACCTTCCTCTCCTTAAGATGTTGGCCCCAGGAGCATTTTAGAGAATGAAGCCCACATACGTAGCTGTCTGCCTGTGCTCACAGCCAAGAGCCTGCCTTCCCATGGCTGCTGTCTGTCTCCCAGCCCCACCCCTCCACTCCACTTGCCTTTGGGATCTGTTCCTCCCTCCCACTCCATGGAGTGTCCCCCACTCCATGCCCCACTGAATGTTGGTGAAACAAATCTCATCTAAAGTAATGAGCAGTCAACTACCCTGATGCTTGGGGCAGGCTGGGCAGAGGTGGGGAAGGGGGTAGGGAGCTGAGTCATTTATAAAGCTTAATAAAGATGCAGATGAGCAGCGCTGACTAGGAACCCCAGAGCCAGGCTTATTCATTATTCAAAGTTATGTAAATGCCACTGGGTCCTGCATGTTAGAATCCTGCCCCTTATCCCTGCTGCCTCTCTTGGGGCTGACAGATCCACCCCACCTTGTGCCTCCCTCTGCCCCCACCCCGGTGCTTGCAGCATTAGCCCTGCCATAGGCCTGTGCCCAGAGCCCCGTTTCAGATCCTACCTGCAGAGTAATAAAAGTCCTAGGCCCCCTCTCCAGCCAGCGGCCGTCCAGAGACTGCGCGGGGAAGCCCTGGCCTCCAGGCAAGCTGTATAAGCCCATACAGAGGGGCTTCTCATTTTGTAAGTTTTCGAGGATAGAATACCATAAGCATGCCAATCTACATGTTTTAATATCTCCCAAATCTACTTAATGGGATGGATTAGCTGAAGTCTAACTTTATCCCTCTTGCTACGTACGCTGAAAGCCCAGCAGACTCACTTGAATCACTCCTTTGAGGAGTCAAATGCAGAGTCCCTTTCCAGCCCCTGTGTCCAGGCTGCCTTTCACCCTTCTAGATAGTTGACCCTCCTTCCAGGTTACACGCACATGGCTCAAGCTCTTACACCTGCTCTGGGATACGAGACCCTGGGGCGGGTTGGATGGTACTAACGCGGAACCTGTCTCCCCATCTCCCCACCGCGATTACTGATGCGTACCCCGCAATCGCCTAGCTCTTAGGACTCAAATTCCTTTCCCCAGACTCTTCCCCTCTGTGCCAGTCTTTCCCTCCTTCCTCCCATTTTTTGGAGAGGCTGAGAGATGAAAAATTGGGTCAGAGTCGCGATGGCATCGATCGCGCTGCTCTCCCTCCTCTCCTGGCCGCCTCGCCTCCCTCCCCGCCCCCTGGCTATTTTCAGCTGCCTCCGCTTTCCTCAGTCTGGTTGGCAACCAGGCCGGCCTCCTCAGTGCCCTTATCTCTGCCCTGCAGCCTGTGCAGACCCCAGCTGCCCTTCCCGAGGTCTCTAACTGCCTGCCCGATTGATTTTGATTTTCTTCCATCTCCAAGAGGCGTAGGGTCTGCCTGAAACGGGACGCCTGGCCACGCTCAGGCGGAAGGGAAGCGGGAGATGAGACCTCAGGCGGAAGGGAAGTGGGAGATGAGACCGGCATGTCTATTTTGGCAAGTCCTCCAGTATGACCGAAACCCACAAGTTGTCCTCCGACCCCTACTCTTCTATGATCCCGCCCCACTCCAACTAAGGAATGGTTGCTTCCTCCCACTTGGGCATTCTGGCCCCATTTCCTAAGGCTTTGGGGGTGCGCAGAATCCCAGGAGGTCCTTGTTGGCCTTCTTGGCCACACATTGCCAATCTCTCTCCCTTCTGCGCCACCCCTCCCCCAAGCCCTCCTCCCCCACTCATACCCCTGCCTTCTGCTCCTCCCTGGGAGCACAGGGCCTCAGCCAGCCCCCGCAGGGCTCGATGGCATCCCCCATTCGTCCTTTCTCAGCTTCTTCGAGACACTGGCCTTCCTTACGTTGTCACCAACAAGCTGAATAAGGCCGGATATTTTGGAAGGGGAGCTACAGCTGGCTGGGGGAGGGGGCGGTGGCGCCAAGAGAAGGCGGAGGGAACTGTGGGCAGCTATGGGGCTGAGGGGACATTCCTAGCACCCTTTCTCCCCAGCTCTGCCGCTTGGGAGCTGGTGGATCTTACACGGGTCCCTCTGGACTTCATTTTTCTCTCACCCTCGATGATAACACGATACTCTGCTTTACAGTTCAGTTCGTAACATTCTTTCACATGCTGCCCAGAGCACCCATCTGAAAGGGCAGACCCTCCCCCAGCACCCCCGTCACCTCCTCTCGTCACCCTGCTCTGCTTTCCCCAAAGCACTCATCACCTTCTGATATAAGACAGATTTTATTTACATGTATTCCTCACGTGTCTTCTCCCCACTGGACAATAAGCTCCGTAAGAACAGGGATTTTTAAAAATTGTGGTAGCTACACATAAAATTTACCATCTTAACCATTTTTAAGTATATTCACATTAAGTTCATTCACACTGTTGTGCAGCCAATCTGCGGAACTCCTTTCATCTTGCAAAACGGAAACTCTATCCCCAAAAACACACCCCCATTTCCTCCTCTTCCCAGCCCCTGGCAACCACCACTTTACTTTCTATCTCATGAATCTGATGACTCTTGACACCTCACATGGGCGGAATCATAGTGTTTGTCTTTGTGACTGGCTTGTTTCACTTAGCATAATGTCCTCAAGGTTCATCCCAATTGTAGCATGGGTCAGAATTCCCTTCCTTTTTAAAGCTGAATAATAATCCATTGTGTGTACATATCCCATTTTGTTTATCTATTCACTCACAGATGGACACCTCGTTTGTTTCTACCTTTTGGCTATTGTGAATAATGCTGCTCTGAATATGGGTATATAAATACCTCTTCTAGACCCCGTTTTCAATTCTTCTGGGTATATACCCAGAAATGGAATTGCTAGATCATATGGGGATTCTATTTTTACTTTTTCAAGGAACCACCATACTGTTTTAGAACAGAGATTTTTTTTTTTTTTTTTTTTTTTGAGACAGTCTCGCTCCCTCTCCTTGGGTAGAATGCAATGGCGTCATCGTAGCTCACTGCAACCTCAAACTCCCGGGCTCAAGCAATCCTCTTGCCTCAGCCTGCTGAGTAGCTGGGACTACAGGCACACGCCATGACACCAGGCTAATTTTTCTATTTTTAGTAGAGATGAGGTCTTGCTTTTGCTCAGGCTGGTCTCCAACTTCTGAGTACAAGCGATCCCCCCACCTCGGCCTTCCAGAGTGCTAGGATTACAGGCGTGACCCACCATGCCCAGCCTAGAATGGAGATTTTGATCTGTTTTGTTCCCAGATACACCCACAGGGCCTAACACAGTGCCTGGGACACAGCAGAGGCTCCATAAATATTTGTGTATTCAATGAATAAGTGAATAATCTTACTGGAACCTCACACCAGCTCTGTAGAGCTGGTGAGTATTACTATTTCCATTTTACAGAGGCTGAGGCTGGAGGAATTGTCTGAGATCACCCAAAAAGCAGACTTGGCGTAGCGTCGACAGGCTCGCTGGCTTTTACAACTCGCTGGAGAAATCAGTGCTCATACACAGGCCTAGGCCCTCGAGGACTCAGGCAGTTGAAGAGTAATTTCCTCTTGGTTGTATTTCCTTTGGGAATATTTTACTCTCATTCCCACTGCCCAGTCTTCCTTCACCACTCAGTGGCTCAGTGACTCCTCCTAACGTCTCCACCCCACCCAGCCTCCGTCTTTCTCTGCCCAGAGCATTTTAACTCCTGTCCTCTTGGGTCGAACCTGCTTGAGTGCCTGTTACAGCCCTCACCCCTCCACCCACCCCGGGGTGGTTATGAGCCTGTTCCCTTCCAAAGCAATTAGTGCAAGGAGGCCAGCCGCCGTGGTGCTAATGCTGTTTCATTAAGTGGGAGCAATCCTAATGATAATAAAATGGCACATTTAACATTCAAACATTGAACAGGGTTTCTGAGCGAGTGTGTCTCTCTCCTTCTTTCTGGTATAACAGCTCCATCTTCATAAAGACCTGACAATACACCTTAATGAGAGACCGGGGGCTGAGCATCCTTGCAGAACCAGAGAAGGGATGAAGAGGACGCAAAACACCCAGACAAAGGGGGTGCGGTGCCTCGAGGGGATCAAGACTCCAAGGGTTCCTGGGTTAATGGATTCTGTGGTGCTAATGTAGATGATTAGAGCCTGCGAGAGATAAGCCCACCATGGACTGGAAATGCAGCTATTTGTTTGTTCAACAAATCTCTTTTGACACATTTTTATTGTGCATCTAAGATCAGCCAGAAATTTTATGGGCATTTGTGATGGAGGGTGGCTCTAATTGTGGAAAAAGGAACTCCAAGGGCAATAGTGACCTATAAGAGACCATCTTATTCCCCCTCTCTTGGGCAGATTTAGTCAAATCCATTTCAAGTTCATCAAACATCCCAGCGAAGAGAATTTTAACAACTGCTTTGGTCTCCTGAGCCAGTCCTTGTGCCCTTCCATATTGAAACATCCATCCCAAAGGTCCTTGCTACTTTGTGATTGTAGAATATCTGATTGACCTTTTGCAAGCATAAAACTAGTTGGGATTAGGGAGCTGGCCGGGGAAAGAAGGTCTACTCGACCATCCGGGGTTTATGGGGGATTCAAGAGAGGCAGAAAAGGATGACGTTGCAGGGCCACTTCTTGCATCTGAGCAGGGGCTCTGGTGCACAGAGGGGAGGCTGCTGGCCTGGGGTCAAAGATGAGCTTTGCCCAGGCCAGGGAAGCGGCTGATTCGAAAAGGTGTCAAGTCATAAGATGGCGTTAGTTTCATGCTTAATTCATACAGGATCTTCCCCACGACAGGGGCCAGCTTGAATCCATGCCCTAGGAAAAGAAGAGTAGATTGTCAAGCAAGCAGATTGTCACCCTCGGGGAGAGGGGGGGAGAAATAGGGAGAGGGAGAGAGGGAGAGAGAGAGAGAGAGAGAGAGAGAGACTGAGCTCTCCAAAAGTTTCCTGTTTACCCAGACAGGGCTGACTTTCCTCTTGGTCATATCTCAAAGCCAGAAGTTGTCTCCCACCGTGAGCACCCCTTTTCTGACTTCCCAGCCTCCTTATACACTCCAAGTCCAGGGTTCAATACTTACCTGGGCAGCTAAGAGTGTGGAAATACCATTTTGCCTGGCACTGAGGTAGGTTGGCTTTAAGGCACCCGATTTCCCACAACGGGGCTTACCAGAGAATCCAGCACCAATGACAATGTTGTCATACTTCGGGTGGCGATCGAGAATAAAGTGCTTGTCAGGGGTGTTCTAGAAAGAAATAATCACACTTGCATCCTTTGAGGATACAGAGAGGAACTGCAGGCTCTGGTGGGCAGGGCCTAGGCTGGGTTTCTTTCCAGAAAGAATGGGAGTGGGGCACGGGCAGGCTTTCTGCATGCCAGGCCCCCTCTGGGTGTGCCAGTCCTTCTCTTTTGTCCATCTGCCTCTCTTCTCATTCAGAGCTATGAACACAGTAGGTGCTCAGTTAATCTCTGTAAACTAACTTTCGCCAAGACGCCTCAGGCCCTGGTGACATCTGTCTCTTCTCTTTATCCCCAAGGCCTGCTCAACTAGAGGATCTTGCCAAAATAATTTTTAGAGCACTTCTGGGAAACACAGTGAAGGACTGCCAGGCATAAGCCTAGTTTCCTAATGAAAAAGATTATGAATAATCCCTAACAGGCCCCTCTCTGGTAGAGGCGAACCGACCCACAAAAATTATTCACTCATTTGTTTAAAGTCACAGACGATGTCAGGGGTCAAATAGAGTCGGGCCCGGCCAGAGCAAGGTCTGTCTGTCTCTCCTTCCCCGTTCTCAAGCCGTGAGAGGGCCTGGCGAGGCTGCCCCAACCCCTTACCGTGTACATGCAGTGCTCCATGACGGCAGGCTCTGGCTTCAGGCCAGGTAAGTGATTTTTGACAAAGCGGCACAGGACTTGGACGTCTTGGCTGTCTGAGCGAGCCTCGGGGCAGTCCCGCTCATCAGGGTCTGCACGGTTGCCGTGGTGATAGCAGACCTGTCTCCCAATCAGAGCGACACGAGTGGCTGGCAAGGGCCCGGCCCTCCACGCACACCCACGTCCAAGGGGCAGGCTTGTCCACAGGATGGCCCTATCCATCATTCCAGCTTCCCCCCCTCCTTGGCAGATGCTGCTGGGAGCCACCTGAGGTTGCCTGGCTGTGGGTCCCCGCCCCCACCCTACGGTTGCAAAGGAAGGGCTCCCTTCGCTGGGCCTCGGGGCAGCTGAGGGTCTTTCCTTGCAAATTGCAGCAGCGAAATAGGCTCCTCCGCTGCCCTCTGGGGCTGAGCCTCTGCGGAGGGGAAAGTGAGAGCAGCTGCCCCAAATCTGCGCAGGCACCTCACCTTCATCAGCCCCGGGTACTCTCCCGCGGGCAGCCCGTAGATGTGGTGGGCGGCTTGGCCCAGGCCCAGGAAGCACGGAAAGGCCTGGGATGCACTGTAACTCCCGGGAACCTTCTCTCGCCAGTAACACACGTTGATCCGCAGGGTCTTGAGGCAGGGAGCAGGAGGGGGAAGGGATAGCCAAGGAACTCTACAGCAGCCTCAGCAGTTTCTGCTGCGGCCCTGCAGCCCTTTAACACAAGCCTGCATGCCCCGCTGAACTCCTCCGTCCTTGCTTCGCCCACTTCTGACATCACTTCCCTGTTGCACACGTTACGGCGCCCAGAGACCTCCGAACCTCTGTCTCTTCCCCATCCGCGGTTTCCTCCCACAGCTGCGCCCGCCCCTACTTGTCCCTCTTTCTGGGAGTCAATAACAATACCTCATAGTTACTGGGTGCTGCTATAATGCCATCTCCTAAGGACTTATATACATCATATCATTTAACTCCCCGACAGCCCCAGGAGGTAGCTATCTATTACTCCCCCACATCACAGGTGACAAAACTGAGGCTCAGGGCCGGGCGCTGTGGCTCACGCCTGTAATCCTAGCTCTTGGGAGGCCGAGGCGGGCGGATTGCTCAAGGTCAGGAGTTCAAAACCAGCCTGAGCAAGAGCGAGACCCCGTCTCTACTATAAATAGAAATTAATTGGCCAACTGATATATATATAAAAAAAAAATTAGCCGGGCATGGTGGCGCATGCCTGTAGTCCCAGCTACCCGGGAGGCTGAGGCAGAAGGATCACTCGAGCCCAGGAGTTTGAGGTTGCTGTGAGCTAGGCTGACGCCACGGCACTCACTCTAGCCTGGGCAACAAAAGCGAGACTCTGTCTCAAAAAAAAAAAAAAAAACTGAGGCTCAGCGAGGTGAACTAATTTGCCCAAGGTCGTCCCCTTGCAAGTGGCAGATGCAGGACTCACACTCGACTGTCTGGCTCCAAGGCTGCTTCTCTTAAGCACCAACCCCCGGGCTGCCAGCTCCTCTTACCTGGAGAGGTAGCTCGATTCCGAGGGGACGGAGGAGCCAGTTGGTCCAGGGACCCGCCGTGATGATCAGGCTCTTGGCTTGGTAGCTCCTGGAGGCGGTTTTCACCACGACCGGCAGCCCTGGCTTTATCTCCGTCACTTTTTCTCCATCACGCACGTCGCCTCCCAGCCGCCGCACAGCGTCCTGAAAGGGCGGGGCAGGGAAAGGCACATTGGTCCCATATGCTGTTCACACCTGGTGGACAAAGAGCCCTTCCCTTGATAAGGCCCGGCCCTACAGGTCGAGACTGAAGGCAGCAGGGCAGGGCCATCATTGGAGGGGCTCCGGGGCTGGCCGGCTGGGACCCGGGATGCCCAGAGCGGGGAGCTGTGTTGGCCCATGCGGTGTGACGTCACCTGTAGGGCTCTGAGGGCCTTGTCTGCGTAGAGAACCCCTCCGGACCTGTCCAGGATCCCCACTTCTCCCACGGACAACTGAATATTTGGGAAACGTTGCTTCATTTCCTCAGATGAGAGATACTGGTGTTCTAGGCTCTGCCTAGACAGAGTAGCCTGGATTGTCTTAAATTCTGGATTCTCCTTCAGCCCCAGTATCAGCAGTCCAGTCTGCCTGAAAAAAAAAAAAAAAAAAAAAAGCCACCTAAGTGAAGGTACATGTCAAAGCCCTGGGCCATTTGCTCTCCTTCTTCAGCAAAGATCTAGGTCCTGAGCATCAGGGGAGTCATGGCCTCATGGACAGAGGACAGGAGGTGGCCTCTAGACCCGGTCACAAGAGCCCCAGTATTCTCAAGCTGAATTCCCCAGCTGTCACTGTTGTTTGGTTGGTTTGTCCCCTATCCTCCTTCCTCAGCATCCAGCCTGTCCTTGAAAGCAGAGAGCCTAAGTCCTCTTTCATCTTCCACACCTTGAAAGTCGCTTTGATAAGATTTCAGCCCCTCCTCCTGTCCCCTGCCCCCACTCGCTATTTCGAATAATGCTCCCATCCCCTCCACACCACCCTCTGCCCCGTTCCTCTCTCCTTTCCCTCTTCTTGTCATTTGATGTTTTGTCCCCTCCCGCGTGTCTGCCTGTCTCTCAGTTCCTTCTCGGAGGCTGCCCGTTTTGTGGAAAGGGTCCTAAATTGGGAGATCTGGCTCTGCTTCTAGTCCTGGCATCACTTTGGTGTGACCTTGACTTGGCTACTCACCTCTCAGGGCCCAGACTCCTCTGCCATAAGACGTGCCTGTTGGACTGTTGATGGTTCCACACTAGGGTGGTCCCTCTGACCCACCCAGGGACGCGTGGAAACGGCATGGGCCATTTTTGTAGTTGCCACCATGTCTGGGGGTGCCACTCACATTTAGTGGGTGGGAGCCAGGGATGCAGAACCCCCAATGCTCAGGAAGATTCCACCCCAAAGGCCAATGGCACCCTCATGCAGGATCACTAGCCAATGGTCTCTTAGGACTCCAGCAATAGGCCGGGCGTGGTGGCTCGCACTTGTAATCCTAGCTCTCTGGGAGGCCAAGGCTGGCGGATCGTTTGAGCTCAGGAGTTTAAAACCAACCTGAGCAAGAGCGAGACCCCGTCTCTACTATAAATAGAAAGAAATTAATTGGCCAACCGATATATATATAGAAAAAATTAGCCAGACATGGTGGCACATGCCTGTAGTCCCAGCTACTCTGGAGGCTGAGGCAGGAGGATCGCTTAAGCCCAGGAGTTTGAGGTTGCTGTGAGCTAGGCTGACGCCACAGCACTCACTCTAGCCTGGGCAACACAGTGAGACTCTGTCTAAAAAAAAAAAAAAAAAAAAAAAGGACTCCAGCAATAAATTCAGTGATTCTGCGATTCTGTTTCTCCCTGTACCTCCCACTATGTCTCTCAGTCCCTAAGGGAGCAAGGCAGTTTCTCTTTCATGCTCCCTGCATCTTTGTCACAAGAGACCAGAGCCCCCTTCTGGGGGGAGTAGATCTAAACAATAGATGGGTCGCTCTGGCCCTTGGGACCATTCCTGTGGTCCCCGTGTGTCCCAGTCTGCCGCACTCACCGGCAACAGCCTGGTACATCCCCCAGGTACCTCGTATAAAGCTCGTAATAGCCTATAATGGAGTCTCATGGATATTACATGCTTCCAAATCCCACATTATCTGGTTGGGGGGATTAAAGAGAAGATTGGGAGGGGGTAGGGACGCAGTGGGCCCTGGGGCGGGTGTCAGTACACAGAGCCGCGCAGCGTGCCCAATGCATTCGCCACGGCCCCCGCCTCCCCAGCATTCACCACTGGCGAGATAGCAGCGAGAGAGCCGCCTCTTCAAAGCTCAGCGGAGGAGGGATGCTGGCGAAATCCCCACTCGCCAGGAGGAGAGAGGCTTTTTTCTCTGGCCCCCAAAAGGACTTCGGATTGGTTCTCAGGTAATGAAAACTTGCCTGGTAAACTTCTTAGCCAACAAGATAATTATAAAGTCATCCAAGTGTCTGTTCTTGAGCCCTTTTTACCCAGATGGGGTCCTGGCAAGGTAAGATTCCGGGAAAGACGTGGCTCACACTTCATCTCAGCAGATACGATGTCAAACCCTGGCCTGGAAATTCCAGAGCAGCGTCCTCCAACCTCTGCCTGCCACACACCAGCCTTGGCCTCTCATATACTCTGAAATTTACTTTCCCTTTTCCACCCTTCCTTCTCTCCTCCCCTCCTTTCTTCCTTCTTTTCTTCCTTCTTTTCTTCCTCCCTCCCTCCCTCCCTCCCTCCCTTCCTTCCTTCCTTCCTTCCTTCCTTCTTCCTTGAATTAAGAGCTCTTCTTACAGGAATGCCTATATGGGAAAAATGAACTCATGCCAAGACAATGGGCAAATCTGTTGAATTATGAAGTGCTGAGTGATGTTCTAATTCCCAAGCCGTCCTGCGGTGGATGAAGCGGGAGCTCCCCATCCCTGGGAGTAATCAGCGAGCTGATTCCGCCGGTGAATGTAATTGTGCCGATTGTAATCATTTTGCTCCAGCTCTCTGCCCCTGTGGCATTTATTTCTTAACCCAGATATTGATCTAACAGTGGGGAATTTTCCATCTGAATTTGTGATGCCGGACCCTCCCCTGGTCAGAAGATGTGTTTGGGGAAATTCTCATTTTCCGTGGATCACAGCTGAGCTATTTGGCCTGAGGGAAACCGTGCACTGCTGGAGAAATGCCTTGGATTGGAGAGAGATTTTTGACCATTATGAGCAAATCGGAAATAAATGTAAAACACTGCCTAGAAATGCAAAGGCCTGTCATTACGGGAGATAGGTGAGAGGCTCCTATGGGAGATGCCTAGAGAATTGGAAATCAGTCAATCAAAACCGGGATTGGAGACCGGGTCTTTTCCCCCCAGGATGAAGATAGATGACTTCCATGGGCAGATTGAAAATCATTTAAGTGCTTATTTTCTTAATGGCTTTTTCTAGATACCAATAAATAGACTGCTCATTCTGCATCCCTGTGCTCCGGGCCTCCCCTTCCTCTTTTTCTGCTCAGATCTGGGCCACAAAGTTTGGAAAGGAAACGGGTGAGAAGAGACAAGGGCACCTGAAGGGGGAAAAATGAGCAGGGACTGACTGGTTGGGACTCGCTAGAAAGAAGGGACGGAAGCAAGCGCTGAGGTTGCAGGGAACCCTAGAAAAGAGTGCAGCTCCCAATGCCCAGGATGCCCGTCTGCTGAGTCCAGAGCAGCTGGTATGAACTGTGCCTTCCTCCCAGCGCTAGTTTGATCCAGCACTAGGAAGAGGTGATTGACGATTTCTCCCACTGCCCCTGTTGACTCCCCAGTGGCCGGACCAGTGCCACAGGTGTGATGTAGGGAGTTGGCGCTCAGGGATGTCCACCAGTTACTGCAGCAGGACAGGGTGCAGGATGGGGGGAGGGAGGGCAGAAACAGGAGGAGGAGACCGCTCCCCTTGCATCTATTCCCAAAACCTCTCCCATCCCAAGCTCTCCCCTCTCTGGGTTCAAAGTGCCAGGCAAGCCAGCTCTCAGCGTCACATTGAGGAAGGGGCTCGCGTGGGGACTTGGTAATGGCTGCTGTCTTTGTTGGTTTTGGAGGAGCTCTTTGCGTTTCATCTTCCGCTCAGTGGGCCGAGGTGGAATTGGTTAACAAAGACTGCTCCAGGGAGGGGACGTGGCTGACAAGGCAGACACTTCGCAGACACAAGAAGCAGCAGCTGCGGAAGGGGCCACCAGGTTCTGCCAGCAGCTGTACTGCCTACGGCTGTGATCTTGTCTGATATTGTCAGCTAAGCAGGGGCAGCCCGGGTCAGGAGCTAGATAGTGGGACTCAAAGGGAGAAGGCGGGGCAGGAAAGAAATGGTCCGCAGAACTGGGCTTTGCTGTTGGTGTCAGCGTCCTGGCTGTACACATCACAAAAGATTCAGACCTTGTGATCTGACACATGTGGCTTTGTCTGTTCCCAGAATATATGCAAATATCCTGAACCCACCCATGTTTAGTATGCCACTGCCATAGGAAGCAGCCACATAAAAAGCATTGGACAGCCACCTTAACTACCTACTCCTAATGTTTTTTTTCTTTTTTCTAATCATCATCAAATAGCATTAAGTATGTTCATATTTATCAGTTATGGGATGGTGCTGGTTCTTCTAGAAGAACCTGGAGAGACGTAAGGACCACAAAGATGATAAATCACTTAAAGAATCAGAATCAGGAGTAACAGCTAAAGGAGTTGGAATGGCTTTTAGCCCGAAGGTAGAACTATATTCAGATACCATTCCGAGAATGGGAAGTATCCTGTTCTGTATCCCACGAAGTAAAAGAACCAAATAAATTAATGTGCCTGAGTAAATCAGGTTAGCCATAAGAAAGGGCTTGTTAATAATAGAATAATAATAACAATAATAATAATACTTAGCACTCTATAGTGCTTTAAAGGTTTTTAAGGCACGTTCATATTACTTTTCATTTTTCATAACTGGAGCTTTGAGTCATCGGAATGGTCTTTTAAGAGGGCTGTGATACTTCCTTGTCTTCAAATGAACAGTAGCAGTCTTTTGACATTAGGAGGACTTAAGTATGAATTTATTTGGAGACGGGAATGGACCGGGGAACCAGTTACAGGTATCTTTTAGACCAGGGGCCAGCAAACTATGCCCCTGGGACCAAATCTGGCCTTCTGCCTGTTTCTCTCTGGCTCATGAGCCAAGATGGTTTTTAAATTTTTAAAGGGTTGATTTTTTAAAAATCAAAAGAAAAATAATATTTCATGACACATGAACATTATATGAAATCCAAATTTCATTCTCCATAAATAAATTTTTTTGGAACACATCTAGGTTCATTTATTTATATCTTGCTTTCATGCTACAATGGCAGAGTTGAATAGTTGTAACAGAGACTTCATGGCCTGCAAAGCTTAAAATACTACACGGCCACTTACAGAAAAAGTTTGCCAACTCCTATTCTAGATTAGGAGTACAGTAATTCTGTGATTTATACTAATGGGTTAAGACTCTGATCACTCAGTAGCAACCTTCTCATAAGGTTGTGGGAGACTTAAATGAGTTATTTATATGAAGTAATTAGAATAGCCCCTAATAGTTTCATTTTCTGTCTTTTTAGAGACGAGGTGTCACTCTGTCACCCAGGCTGGAGAGCAGTGGGATGATCGTAGCTTGCTGTATAACTTAAACTCCTGGGCTCTAGCAATCCTCCTGCCTCAGCCTCCCGAGTAGCTGGGACTACAGGCATGCACCGCCACACCCAGCTAATTTTTAAAAATTTTTGTAGAGATAGGGTCTTGCTTGCAATGTTGCCCAGGCTGGTTTCAAACTCCTGTCCTCAAGCCATCCTCTTGCCTTGGCCTCCCAAAGTGCTAGATTATAACTGTGAGCCACTGCACCTGGCCCCTAGTTTCTTACTGTTAGTCCTAAATATGTGGTAAGGAGGAGGAGGATTTTCCACGTAGTTCTAAGCTCATTACATACTTATCCTCACAATAGGCCCATGAAATGGGCCTATTATTGCTCCTACTTTGCAGACAAGAAAACTGAGTCTCACAGAGGTGACACTGTTCACTCCAAAGCATGCAGCCAAGTGCATCAGAGCTGATATTTCCAGCCAAGCCTGACCAGATCCGAAGCCCTTCCAAATTCCGGTCCTCCTGCCACGAAGGAAGATTGTGAGCCTCTGAGAATCTTCTACACAGGGGTCCCTTTTCCCCCTCCTGTAGCCTCGATGCCCAGGGTTGTTGCAGGCCCTCTGTCCCCTCCTGCCTTCTTCCTCCATTGCTCAATGGAACCAGCCTGTGGCCGACCCTGAACCGGTGGAAGGGATTGCCACTTACTATCAGTTCCTAGCCACTGCATCAGGTCTTTTACAAAAGTCTCATTGTATCCTCACAGGGCCCTGGGAGAAAAAGTGACGCACAGAGAGGTAAAGCAACTTTTCCAAGATCACACAGCTGGTATCGGGGTAGAGCACAAAGTCAAACCCAAGCCTGTCTGACTCCAGAATCAGCTTCCCTCTGAGAGATACAGATCCTCTCCTAACCTCTCTCAGTTGCCTCATTGTCTGCTGGGAAGCCGTGTGCCCTCCAAGGCCTGGGGCAGTTCTTTTAGCACAAGATACTCAGCAGTATTCATAGGCAGCTGACAGAGAAGGGTCCCTTTGCCAGGCCACCCCCCAGCAAGACATGTTCCTTTATTTGGGTGCTGGGTGCATTAGCTGCCTCTGAATAAATCTGTAATTAGCTGCCCTGGCTGTATTTGCATAATGGATTTCACTTTGTTCTTAAGTTAATGGTGTTTCTGCAACAGAACAGTAACCTCTTGGTTCCTGTCCATTACAATAACTGCCACCCTGTAGGGTAGAGCCAGGGTTTGTGGGAAGTTCAGATAAGACTCGCAGAGGAGGTGGGAGGGGAAGCCGGATGGCTAAAGTTCCCATTGCATCACAGGTCACTGGCCTTCCTGTGAGTGTTTGAAGGGTCAGCGCGGAAGGGGGCTTAAGTGTTAGACCCGTGGAGGCAACAGAGAGAGAGGTGCAGCCTCGCTCCCTGGCAAGCACTCGGCCTGTTCCTACAGGAGAAGGAATTCAGAGAATGAAATGGACTTATAGGGTCACCATGGGGGCGAGGACCCAGCATGAACAGTCTCGATACCGGTAGGAATATGAAGAATCCAAAAAGCAGCTGCGACCCCATCTCAACCCCTGCGCCAAGTCTCAGAGGGCTCTGCAGAGGCACAGGTACAACCTCGGGCAGATCCTCGCAGCCTGCCCAGCTCTGTGCCTCGCCAGCAGTTTTGCCAATACGGCCTCGGCTGGCCTTGGTCACGCGGTCTGAACCCAGGCCTGGAACTCAGAGCCCAGAACCAGCCAGCTGGCCCTGTGCGGTGACCATAATGGCAGTGAGAAGAATGACAGCTTCCGTGCATCCGGCACTCCTCTAGACCTTGTGTCCCTCCCACTGCGTTTCCAGTGTTCGTGGCACTGCCACCCGACACACTAGAAACACCTCTAGGTGCGGGGCCCCATGATTCCAGGGATTCCTCCCCCAGCCCACCTGTGCAGTGGGGTTCCAGCCTCCTGCTCCAGCTGGGCCCATATCCGATAGCATTCATCCATCATCCGGGTGTAAAAGTCTTCCGCGTACGCCTTTCGGATTATCCGGCTCTGTCCATGGGAGCTCCCTCGGGAGTGCGGTAGAAAGAACTGGAAGCGGAGAACAAGAGAGACAAGGGAAGCCGCTGCCCCTTACACTGTCATCTCATTGCGCGCTGTCAACCAGGAGCCTCTTAACTTTTAAATATTTCCATACAATCTTTCCAAATTCCCTTTTATGACCAATTTGCTGACTTGGCAATCAAGATAGAACTTCCTCAGTAGCACGAACTTAGGCTTTCTTTCTGTTAAGGTCATTCATATCCAGAAGTCCCTTTGTTAGCTAATTTGTAACCATTCTGTTGCAATCTCACTCAACTTTGATTCATAAAGACTCTAGTCTAATCTCCAGCCCTTCCTCCTACTTCCCAGGGCTGGATAGCAGGGGGCTCTGCTCCCCCAGAACCAGTCTTCTCACTGACCCCAGACTATCTTGCATCTCCCACCACTGTGCCTCTGCATAAGCCATGCCCCCCACTTTGGATGCACTCCCTCTCTCTCCCCATTGAAACACAAAACATATTTGAGGGCCACGTGCAGTGGCTCATGCCTGTAATCCTAGCATTTTGGGAGGCCGAGGTGGGAGGATCACTTGAGGCCAGAGCTCAAGACCAGCCTGAGCTACACAGAGAGACCCCTGTCTCACAAAATATATATTTAAAAAATTAGCCGGGTGTAGTGGCGTGTGCCTGTGGTCCCAACTACTTGGAGGGGGTGGAGGGGCTGAAGCAGGAGGATCGTTTGAGCCCAGGAGTTTGAGGTTGCAGTTAGCTATGATGACACCATTGCACTTTAGCCCAGGCAACAGAGTGAGACTCTGTCTCAAAATAAATAAATAAATAAATAAATAAGAAAGAATCTTCTAGATCATTCTAGTCTAGTCTGTTCATTTTATGAACAAGGAAACTGATGCTGACTTTATTTTCCGTGGCTTCAGACCACTCAGGCTAAGGGAACCAGCACAAGATGGAGAGTCTCCTGAGAGGATGAACCAGGGATTCCTCAGGCTTTGATAAAATTAATAGAGAAAGGAAGGTTTCTAACTGCTCCAGCTCGTGACCATGAAGAGTAAACCATAACTAGCCTGGACAGCTGTCGGCAGAATGGGAAGGAAGAGTCTCCTGCAGCAGAAATCCTTCACAGTGAATGGTGGCCCTGGGGCCACACACAGGGCCACACACAGAAGGGACACACACACAAGGGACACACACACACTGGGGCCACACACACAAGGCCACACACACACACTGGGGCCACACACACAAGGCCACACACACACACACGGGGCCACACTCATGTGCAGAGGTCACTGCAGACTGCACTGCATGGCATCACTTTTCCTTTAAAGAAAAAAACGAGACCCAAGTCTTACTTTCTATCAAACAAAGAGGCTGCTATTGTCCAGAGGGGGCAGGAAAAACAGAAGCTTCTGTTGGGTTGTGGGGTGCGAGGCCAGGAATATGCAGGGGAGTATCCTACCTTTTAGGCTGATGAGTCAACCTTTGCCTCTAGGCAAAATTATCTTTACTTCAGGCTACCCAGAGGAGAACTGATTGTTTTTCTGGTCTGGATCAACCATGTGGGCACAGAGGAGACAGGGTGGCAAAAAGGAAGAGAACAGGGCCTGGGACACTTCTTAGTCAAGGGCAAGAACTGGGAGGCAGTAAAAGGAAGAAATGTGCCTAGAAACCCAATGTGGGTCTAAGAGATGGTGAAACTCTCTTGGAATTGTCACAAAAGACACCAGGCAGCCAAGCTACCAATTGCACAGAATTTGGGGTGATTCAGGCTCTTTGGCCCTGCCCCATAGCCTGCTGGCTCTGGAAACCTCTCTCCTGCGGAGGACAGGAACAGTCCTGAAGGCCAGGAGTGCAGAAGAGACACAGTACCTGCTCCAGCAGGAGGACCTTCTTCCTGTGTCTGGCCAGGTGGTATGCAGTGAAGCAGCCCTGGATGCCTGCCCCGATCACAATGGCGTCGCAGAGATCTTTCAGAGCAGCCATGGTGCCCACTTGGTCGGTGCTACGGTCGCAGAGCCCACGAAGCAGAAGCAGAAGGCAGGCAAAGGTGACTCCCAGCTGAAGTAAGAGGAAGGCAAAGTCCAGCCTGGCCGGTTTTCCCACAATCCCCCGAGGCCACACCCCTCTCCCCTCTCCAGCCCTCCCCACCAGCCTGGCACAGGGCTCAGCCTCCCTTCCCCTGCAGAGCAGAGCTGGGTAGTCTGATTTGTGAGGTTTAGCCCAGCTCAGCTGCCAGCCTCACCCTTGCATCCCTCTAGCTTTCTATTCTTGGCTCAATTATTGTCATGCAAATGGGCTCCTTCCTTTGCCACCTTCCTGTCTCATTATGATCTTTGTCTCAGGACTTCGGCCCTGGAATTTCAATGGCTCCTAGACCAAGCTGGGCACCAGGAATGCTGCCTCCCCCTGCTGGCTTCCTCCTCTTCAGCCTGATTTCCTTTAGAGATTCTAGAGGGCCGAGCTCAGACCTTGGCACGATGCCCAGGGTTAAGCCCACCTCCCTGGTGGGTGGTGATGTCAGGGGTATAGGCAAGGCCCATTTTGAGGGCAGTCTTGTGATTATGAAATTATTCTCTGCATGTTTTACTTTCATTTGAAGAAAGTAAAAGAAGAAATGATCCTGAAAAAATGGGAAGGACAGAATGAGAGAAGGAGCCCTCTCCTCAGACACAGAAGGGACCAGGCACCAGCCTAGCGCCTACAGCACCCGGTGCTGAGTGCCCCTCTGTGCCAGGCAGGGTGCTGAGTCAGTGCTGTGACCGGCGCTGGAGACAGAGCCAGGATCTGTACAGCCTGATTCTTATATAGTTTGGGGCTCCTCTTTAAGAAAAAGGAGGCTGGGTGTGGTGGCTCACGCCTCTAATTCTAGCACTTTGGGAAGCCGAGGCGGGAAGATTGCTTGAGCCCAAGAGTTTGAGACCAGCTTGGGCAATAGTGAGACCCTATCGCTACAAAAAATTTTTTAAAAACTAGCTGGACCTAGTGGGCACGCACCTATAGTCCCAGCTACTGGAGAAGCTGAGGCAGGAAGATCACTTGAGCCCAGGAGTTGGAGGTTGCAGTGAGCTACAATGATACCACTGTACTATATCCAGGGCGATGGAGTGAGACTCTGTCAACAACAAAAACAAGAAAGGAAAAAGTGAAGCCATCTTGGGTCCTCTAGCCCAGCCTAGCCACCAGCAAAATACCACTGAGTGACCCAGTTGGTGCCACATGGCACAGAAGAACCACCCAGTCAAGCTCCATCTGAACTCCTGACCTAAGAAATTGTGAAATAGAATAAAATGGTTGTTGTTTTGAGCCACTAGGTTTTGGGGTGTTTTTTTTTACACAGCGATAACTGAATCACTACTTAACAGCCAAAGCCACGGAGGCTCAGAGAGGTTATATCTTGCCCAGAGCCACACACCTGGCATGCAGAGACACTGGGCTGTGAACCCAGGTCTGTCCACACCAGAACCCATTGCTTTAACCACTGTGCTGTAGTGAGGATTGGTCAGACTTGTAGTGATGATTTTGATGTCAGTATTTGCTGTTTCTCTCACGGCCATCCTGTGAGTAGGAGAAAATAAAGGTCCAGGAAGCCCAGATAACTATGGGAAGATGCCAGTCCCAGCACAGTGACCTGCTGAAGCCCCCGGCAATGCTTCTACTTCCACAAATAATCCCCCGGAGTGGCCTTGGCAACTGGCTGTCCTCTCAGCCTGGCCTTTTGGTTCTTAGAAAACCGGGAGCCCAGAGAGGGGGTGCCACTCGACTGGCTTTTTTTTTTTTTCCTTCTGAAAAATATATCTCTCTAGAGTCTAGAAGTCATCTCAACTCCATGCCACCCACCTCTCAACAATTGGACAGCTCCCCTGGAGTAAAAAATCACAGGCATAACCGAGAAAAATGTACTATTTAAGTATGTAAAGGCTTGATATAAATACATAAAGTCAGCCCCCAGATTTCTCTTGATAAGATGTCAGAGGAGATGAACAGTTTACACACAAGGAAAAGCAGACAATAAATCGTCACATGGAAGTGTGCCCAGTCTCACTAGCAATGAAAGAAATGGGAATTAGATAGCTGTAAGGTACTATTATGTGCCTATTAAATGAGCAAAAATAAATAAACATGACAAAATCTTATATGTTGTCAGTGCTGTGGGGATGGAGATAGAGTGGGGTGGCCATTCAAGGGGTCTGGGTCTCCTAAAGGTTGCTGAGGCAACACACAACAATCAGGATAAAATGGCTCAAACCTCTGACCTAGACATTCTGCTCAGGGAATTAAACCATAATAGGAGAAAATGGTACGAAGGCATTTATATCTGTGCTTTTATAATATGAACAAATTGGAGCCTGGCCACGGTGGCTCACATCTGTAATCTCAGCACTTTGGGAGGCCGAGGCAGGAGGATCACTTGCGGCCAGGAGTTCGAGACCAGCCTGGGCAACATCGTGAGACCTCATCTCTACAAAAAATAGAGATGCATGCACCTGTAGTCCCAGCTACTCAGGAGGCTGAGACAGGAAGCCCACTCGAGCTCAGGAGTTTGAGGTTGCTGTGAGCTAGGCTGACGCCACGGCACTCACTCTAGCCTGGGCAACAAAGTGAAACTCTGTCTCAAAAAAAAAAAAAAAAAATAGAACTAACCCAACAACCAGGACTAGCTGAACAAACTCTGGCACGTTTACACAATGGAATACTATGTAGCTATTCAAAATGACAAGCTTGAGGAATCTGCTCCACGCAAATGTAAGAAATAATATTGAGGAATAGAAGAACACAGACACAGCGATCACAGCCCTGAGTTATCTGCATATGTTATCAAAGATCTAAAGAGAGGCCGGGCACCGAGGCCGGGTGCGGTGGCTCACGCCTGTAAGCCTAGCACTCTGGGAGGCCGAGGCGGGTGGATTGCTCAAGGTCAGGAGTTCGAAACCACCCTGAGCAAAAGCAAGACCCTGTCTCTAATAAAAAAAAATAAAAAAATGATCTAAAGAGAATTTGGTGAGGTAGTTGAGCTTAATGCTCATTAGTTTCCTATTCTATAAAAATGGCATATCCATTCACAATTTGTAAAAGAAGGAGACATCCTCTGGGTCAGCAGACCTTCAAATCTCCCTGGTCACTGGTTCCAGGGCCTGGGGAAGTTCATTCTTTGTTCTAATCTCAGTTCTTCCTGCTGTCCCCCCCCCATTTCCCATTGTTCAATCCTCCAGGGAAGCTGCAGAGCATCTCTGTACCCCTCCCCCTCCACTTTGCTTAATATAATATATCCCTTCAGAGATAAAATGACAATTCCATTTCCCCATCCCTACTTCACAAGCCTGCCCTGGATTCCTGGACTCAAGCATTCTGCTTCTTGTTAAGAATTTCAAACAGCTCCTCCGAAAGCACATACTGGCCACGGCCCAACCTTGAAATGAAAAGCAAATCGGCTTCTGAAGGCTTCCCCTTCTCTCAGGCTCGCCCGTCCTTGCTGTCGTGACAGGGGCAGGCAGAGAGAAGGTACCCACTCAAATTCCATTTTAACGCCCGTTCTGGCTCGGAAGACTATTAAAGGGAGAGCCAGCAGCCCTACACCTTGCTGCCTGTGTGTGTCAGCCATCGCTGCTCGTGTCCTGGGGCAGAGACGCGCAGGATATGAGGCTGAGCAGCTCATCTGATGGCTTGATTGACACTTCGCAGACGGGGGTTGGGAGAGGCGAGCCAGGGAAGCAGCAAGCTGTTCAGATCAGAAATAATGAGGACCCGAACTGAGCGAGAGCATGGAATAAATAAGACAGACCTAAGAGTTGGATGTCGAGGGAGAAGCTTCTGTTCTTTTTTCCCTGCCCCACTTTGCCAAGGAGCCTGGGGCAAGGAGCAAGCAGGCAGACCAGGAAGGGCCCCTCTGGACCCGGCCAGCCAGCCGCTGGGTGTCTGGGGCCCCACGTGTGCAGAGGATGCCAGTGTGAGAAAGCCAAGCGCGGCAGGGCAGGCTTTGTGCGTGGTCTCCATACACGCCGCCGCCCGGTTCGGGTCTCAGATTTAATCCTCCCCTGTCATCCCTGCTCCCTTTGCCCGGGGTATCCATTCACCACGGCTCACCTAGATTATTGCATTAACCTCAAAACGCTTCTCCCCGCCCCATCCTTGCCTCTGTTAATCTATCCTCACGTTCCTGCCAGAGCCATCTCTCTAAACAGCAAAAGCTGAACAGGTCAGTCCCTGCTGAAAATTCTTTTAATAGCTGCCCATTTCCTATTAGGATAAAATCTGAACTCCTCAGCGTGGCTCACAAGGCAGTTCACGTTCTGGCCTCTGCCTGTTCCTGCAGCTCCGTCACGGGTCCCTTCTCACTGTGCTTTTTGTGCCCCGGCGACGCTGAGCTGAGCGAGGTTCCAGCATTCACCGTGATAATTCCGAATTCACGGACACCCACAGCCCCACTTAGACGGCTTCTGTTCTACACTCCCTCCCCACCCTCAGACTCTCAATGGTAACAATGAGCACATTGTATTGGAATTGTTTGCATGTCTGCCTTTCCAGCTCTTTAAGGGGAGGGAGTCTTCTTTTGATTGTCGTTTTTTCATAGGTAATGCACACAAAGGTGTACAAAGGAGGACGCTGTGAAAAGGAAGTCTCCTTTCCACCCTGTCCTCACTGCTTACTTCTCATCGGATGCAACACTGTTGCTATTTTCTTTTGTGTCCTTCCAGAGATGTTCTATGGGTATACAAACATACTTACACAGAATATTCATTTTGTGATCTCAAAAATAGCATGGTATACAGCACCTTGATGTTTTCATTTCCTTTATCTTGGCAATCCACGTCGGTCAGATGGAGCCCGCACCTTCTTCCTGACGGCCACCTCGTGCTCCATGGTACGGAGGAGGCACTGGGGACGGAGAAGGCACCCATACATGTTAGCTGATAGGTGGTGGCTTTCTCTGGCTCTCACAGGCGTCCTCTATTCATGTGGCTTTCTAGCTGCCCGGTACCAGGTGCCCAGAGAGGGTGACATGCCTGTCCTGGGCTGGCCCAGAGTGCCCTCCATGAGTCCCAAGAACAATACCCACCTTCATACCAGGAGATGGTGGGGCTGGAACACCCAGAGGCCCTGGTTTCTGCTTCCTGCCACGTCTCTGTCTTTGCATTTGTTAAATGGCAGATATTAGGGTCAAACCTGCTCCCTCAAGATACAAGAGTGCAATTGCTAGGCAGACTCCAGGGGTGGGAGGAAAATAGGAAAAGTTCTGGAATTGGGACTGAAACCTCTGAGAAAATATTAAATCATCCTTTCACCTTGGGGAGGGGGTAGGATATACCCAGGAAAGGGTATTCTTAGACCTCACTGGGACAAAAGGAAATGCATTAAAAATGAGGGAGGAAGGGTTTGCATTTGTCTTAAGGGAAAACTTCCCTATAGATGAACACTGAAATCTTGTTCACCCTATTTCCAGGTTCTACTCCAGCCCCATGCACAAACATGTGCATATATGCACACCCGTCTGACTGGTGCGCTAACATGTACCCAGCTGTTCGGTAAGTAGGTGTCTTTACGCATGCGTGCATCCGAGTGGGTATATTTCCACCGCTAGGTATTTTGGAGACAGTCTATTGCATAAAATGAGAAATCAAAGAGTGCCAAGAATTGGTGTCCCAGTTCTCCTAGGTGTCTGGGATGGAGACTAGATCTGTATCCACTGTCAGCAGCCTCCCTTCCTTCTCCGGAGGACGGATTTCCATGTCTGCCCCACGCTTCACAGCCCAGATATCGCTGTCCTCTGAGGTGGGCAGCTGGGGGGGAGAGTGGAAATTGGGAGTAGGAAAAGTAAATAGCTTTTGCATGGATTGGGCTGTCTTGACGGGTGACAAATGGTAACCAAAATTCAGTAGCATGCAGGAAGATTAACTCCAGGGTTCAGCTTTCTGGTATTCTCTGCCTTTTGGGTGGATGTGGTCTTCCCCTCCTACCTCTGCAGCCCCGCCTGCCGATGCTGCTGTTTATTAGGGAATGTAGACCCACGTGGAAGTTCGGGCCCTCCCCACGCTATAATGCCAGACATGAGGCCATGGAGGCAGAGAATCAGAGGGATGCCCAAGGGAAAAGAGAGAAGGAAGGGAAGCTGAACTCTGGGCAGCAGCTTCTAAATCATCTTCAATCTCCACCTTCTGCTTGTGGCCTCCAGCCTGGCCCCAAAGCCAGCTGGGCCCATCTCCTGAGCCATGATGCCTACAGGATGCATCTCTCTTGCTCTTTTTCCCACTGGTTCTTCTTCTTCTGTTCTTTTTTCTGTTTCTGCCTTGGGCTCCCTTCCTTCCCTTGAGATCAAGAGAGTGAGAAAGAGAGGTTTAAGGGAAGGCCCTTGTGGATGGACAGGAGGACACCAGGGCCTCAAGGCAGTGGAAAGGCCGAGGGGAGCCAGGGAATCCTTGGTGCCAAAGCCGCATAGCTTTGCTCTTTCTTTTCACTGAGGTTTTTATGGGAAGTTTAAGTCTGCTGGGCCTGGGGTGGCAACTCTCAGATGTACCCCTCCCTCCTCTCTCATCTGACTACCGACTCACGCACGACTTTCCTGCTTGGTATCTTTTGCCTCTTGAATCTGTAGATTGGTGTCTTTCATCTATTCTGGAAAACTTCCAGCCATTATCTCTTCAAATACCTATCTCTACCCTGTTCTTCCCCCTCTTTCTGGGACATTAGTTAAACATATGTTAAATCTCTGTATGGATTATCTCTTATCCTCTCTATTCTCCCCTGTTTTTTTCTCTCCATGCTACATTCTGGATAATTTCTCATTGTTATCTTCTATTTTGTTAACTCTCTGTTCCAACGCATCTAAGTTGCTTTTAAATTAATAATTGGAGTTTTAATTGCATTACTGACTTTTTTATTTTTGGAATTTCTATTTGGCATTTTTAAGAAATCCATATTGTCACCTTATATAATTCTTTGTTCCCTGAAAACATTTTCAAGCTTGTCTTTTATTTAATTGATCACAGTAAGCATGGTTGTTTTATAGTCTATGTCTGTTCATTCTAATGTGTGAAGTCCTGACAGCTTTTTTTTTATTTGTCTCTTGTTTCTATAATTTTCACTCACAGAGCCTTATTTTCTCATGGGCTTGGCTATCTTCTGGTAACTGGGCTTGAACAAAGAATATACTGGGGCCAGTGAGGTTGTTCATGTCTGTAATCCTAGCACTTCGGGAGGCTGAGGCAGGAGGATTGCTTGAGGCCAGGAAACCAGCTGGAGCAAGAACAAGATCCCATCTCTACAAAAAACAGAAAAATTAGCCTAGTGTGGTGCTATGCACCTGTGGTCCCAGCTACTTGGGAGGCTGAGGCAGGAGGATCGCTAGAGCCCACCAGTTCAAGGTTGCAGTGAGTTATGATGACTCTACTGCACTCTAGCCTCAGAGACAGAGTGAGACCTTGTCTCAGAAAAAGATAAAAGACTATATTGGAATAATTGGAGTATAAAAGGGGCTTCCTCTAGAGAGGATTGTATTTCCTTCCACCAGGAACCAGGGGCACCACTAGCCCAGAGCTATGTAAATTGAGTTCCCAGCCTGAGGCTCCCTGTACCACTCAGACAATGTGAAGGGGGCTAGAGCACCTCAGTTTACCCTTCCCTTGATGGTATAGCCTTTAGGGGTCTCGGCATATTGATGGGAGAATCTTCTATCAGACTCTCCACCATGAGCAGGCACTGGGCTTGGATTTCTATCCCCCTTACTCTACCAGGTCACCAAAAGGAAAATTTAGATTTGCTAGGATTGGGAGAGGCTCTATAAGGGAAAAGTGGTTTCTAGCCTCTAGATTTCTCTTCCAAGTTGGCTTGTTGATTCCTTAATATTTTATTAACTCTTCGGGGCTTTCAGGATATTTTTGATATTTTATTTAGCATTTTTTGTTGTTGTTTTTACTAGGATAAATTGGTCTAAATAACTCAGCCTGCCATTGTTAGGCTTCCAAACTTGGTTGTAATCAGATTACTAACACCCAGAATGCATAAACTCTCCAGCATGGTCTTCATTTATACTGGTCTTCTGGGCCCGGCATGGTGGCTCATGCCTATAATCCTAGCACTCAGAGAGGCCAAGGCAGGAGGATCGTTTGAGCTCAGGAGTTCAAGACTAGCCTCAGCAATAGTGAGACCCCCATCTCTACTAAAAATAGAAAGAAATTAGCTGGGCAACTAAAATAGAAAAATTAGACAGGTGTGGTGGTGTGCACCTGTAGTCCCAGCTACTCAGGAGGCTAAGCAGGAGGATCACCTGAGCCCAGGAGTTTGAGGTTGCTGTGAGCTTGGCCGATGTCATGGCACACTAGCCCTGGCAACAGAGTGAGACTCTGTCTCAAAAAAATATTAATTGATTAAAAAAATACATATATATATATATAAATATATATATATATACACGTGCACACACATACACACACTAGTCTCCCATTTCCCCGGCCCCTTCCTCCTCAGTTACCAAGAAGGAAAAAAAGACAATGGCAACTGTCAACAAGGATAATCACCTCCCTCAGAGGGCAGCAAGAGAAGGAATCTCATAATAATTGTCACCATGAGAGCCTGATTTAGGTGTGGACCAGCCAGGCTTTGGCTGAGGGGCCAGTATACAGGGGACCCAGTATACAGGGGACCCCAAAACATCATCATGAATTAGAGTAGGTTAGAAGAGCATTTTGCCGGCTAGAATGCCTTTTGGGGAATCACCGTATTTGTTTAAAAGAAGGAATATTTTGATAAGGTGCAGGTGTGGGCTGTGACCTCCAAGGTTAATTGCTTTTGGCTGAGAGTGGGTCCGGCTTGCCGCACAGCTTTTGTTTTGATGAATGGGGCCGCAATTGCCCACCAGCGCTGAATTGCTCAGAACCACACAGAATCACGGTTCCCTGTTCATCCTTCCTTTCTGCACTACCTAACCTCTTTAAATAAAGTGGTGAACAAATATTTAAAGAAAATCAATTTTCTCTCTATAAGGATAGCAAGAAACTGGCAACACTAGTTGCCTCTGGGGAGCGAAGCTGGGTGGAATCTTGCTACCTATAGAAAAAGACTTAGAAGAAAATGCTGCGCAGATCATCGCAGTCCTGCTGGGACTTGGGGATGGGCTCCAGGCGTCGTCACATCCTGTCTGTACCTAAGCTCCCACCACAGCCGGGCTCTGGCCTGGGAAGGATTGAAATCCACACAAGGCCATCAGGCAGGTGAAGGAAGGGTCACGTGCAGCATTTCAAATTTAGAGAATATAAAGGAAGTGGGATTGCTGGGGCCACGCTGGGTCTCATCTCACTAAGCAGGTTCCCATACAGAACCTTCCAAGGACCCGTGCTGAGTGCTCAGTGGCACAGTGCGTATTAGCCAACTGCTCCCTGTTTCCGGCTTGTCCTTGGCAGCCCCCTCCCAAGCGGAATCTTGGCTTTCCCCTCTCTTTCTCTCCCTCCATCTCCCGGTCTCCCGCCTCTCATTCTTGTCCCCCTTTATCTTCTTGCTGTTTAGAGGGGCAGAAGGAAGAAAGATTTAGTTAGAAAAGACATTGGGAAGATTCCAGTTGTGTTTGGAACAGACTATCTGGGCTCCTTGCCCAAAATTCTTAAAGGAAAGGAGAAAGCGATGGTTCCAGGAATGGGCTGGGGGAAGGTCTGCCCACAGCCCATTCAACAAGCTCTCCAGACACCCTAGGGTGCTAGATAAAACCCTGGCCCTCATTGTCGCTCCTGCGTGACTCCTTGTCATGTCACACAGGTTAAGGGCACTCACTTCACAAGCATCTAATTCAATCTTTACAGCAGCCTTGTGAAGTGGACAGGCAGGCATTTTTATCCCCATTTTGCAGATGAGGAAATGCAAACAATAGCTAAAAAGTGACAGAAGGCCGAGGCAGGGGGATCGCTTCAGCTCGGGAGTTCAAGACCAGCCTGGGCAGCATAGTGAGACCCCCATCTCTACAAATAATAGAAAAATTAGCCAGGTATCATGGGACACGCCCGTAGTCCCAGCTACTTGGGAGGCTAAGGCAGGAGGATCACTTGAGCCTAAGAGTTTGAGGCTGTAGTGAGCTATGATGATGCGACTACACTCCAGCCTGGACAATAGCATGAGACCCTGTCTCAAATAAATAAGTAAATAATAAAAATAAAAAATAAAAAGTGACATAGCCAGAATTCCCACCCCTCCCCTACCCAGGACTGCAAGCCCCAAGCCTTCCTCCACATCCAGAGAGAGGCCCTGCCTGCACTCCTCAGCATCCCGGGTCCTGGGTCTTGGGTCCCGGGCTCAGTTCTTTTGTGAGGACCGGGTGAGAAGGTGGATCAATTCGTGTTGCAAATAACAGCACTCCCTACCTCCCCCCACTCCTACAAAGAAAGCGAAGGAGCATGACCCCCAAAGGGAAGAAATTCTAAAGCAGCCCCTAGGGACCCTGGGAGAAGCTGTTTGATTTATTCCAGTCCCTACTGGTATTCTATGCCACATTTATAAACGTCAGCGCTGAAAATGAAGTTCCCACTGCCCTGGCAGCTGCTGGTTGCTGCCGCTGCTCACCAAGGGTTCAGATAAAGTGTTTCCCCCTCCCCTTGATTGATAGGGAGCCGAGAATAAAAGAGAAACAAAAGCCCCCTGCAGCATTGATGGAAAGGGGGGCAGCTTCTGGAGAGAAAGGGCGTGACCTAGAAGGGCTGATATTGGGAGAACAGAGGGGGGCAGTGTCTGTCTGTCTGTCTGTGTTTGTCAATGTAAGGTCCTATAAGGAAAAGACCCAGTTGTTAAGCATCTGGAAAATACATACCTTCTGCTTATGCGAGAGAGGAAAAGTGGTGCAATCCGTATTTCATTTCGGGGGCTCTGTCACAAGATGAGGGAAGGAAAGGGGCTGGATGAGGCTGTCTTTGTGACCTCGAGGCTTCTGCTCTCCCTGAAAACGATCTGCTATCTTCTGGGGTCCCGGACAGGGAATGAAGCTGGCAGAGACTTAGAACAAAGGGGGCCTGGAGGAGAGTGGGAAGAAGAAATGAAAGGTAAAAGGATCCCAAGGGACCCCACAGACACAAGGCATCATCATGATGAACTGGACCGGTGGCTGGGACCGGGGAGACCATGCTGGGAGCAGCATGTGGGACTCCAGGCAGCGCTGTCCACACTTCCGCGGTGACGCCTTCCCTTGCAGCTCTCCGACATCTGGGACGCTCTCTGGTCTTTGAGAAACACTGGTTGGGACCAACTCACACAGCCCTAGTCAAGCTTACCTGAGGGATGCAGCAGTTGTCATCAGTTTGATTTTTTTTTTTTTTTTTTTTTGAGACAGAGTCTCACTCTGTTGCCCTGGCTAGAGTGACTGCCGTGGCGTCAGCCTAGCTCACAGCAACCTCAAACTCCTGGGCTCAAGCGATCCTCCTGCCTCAGCCTCCCGAGTAGCTGGGACTACAGGCATGAGCCACCATGCCCGGCTAATTTTTTATATATATATCAGTTGGCCAATTAATTTCTTTCTATTTATAGTAGAGACGGGGTCTCGCTCTTGCTCAGGCTGGTTTCGAACTCCTGACCTTGAGTGATCCACCCGCCTCGGCCTCCCAGAATGCTAGAATTACAGACGTGAGCCACCGCGCCCGGTTCAGTTTGATTTTTGTATATTTATTTTAAAACATACCAGACCAACTATTTTTGAATGACCATTGTTCTCTTCAAAGTGTTCTCCTTGAGAAGCTGTAGAGTTAATCCGGTGATGCTCAGTGTGTGGCCCAAGTCATCCCGGAGGGTGATGTGTGAACTACCTTCAGGGCCAATTTATAACCCAGGCAATAAAATGTCTTGTTACTTTATAGGGGTTCCCGTCCTTTCCCTTAACTTGATTTATCCGACTTGTTTCTCCGTAACTTTTGGCCCTTCCCGAATACCAAATGCTCTGCCAAGCTGCTCTCTCAGGGTGGCTTGGAGCAGCCTTCGCAGGACAGGATTATTCATGACGGGACACAGGTATAATTATTAGCAAGAGTGAGATGGAGACACACAACAGGGAGAAGAATCGTTATATTAATGTCACAGGAATCTGGGTGGGTTTTTCTCTTCATTTCACTTTCCCCACGTGGAAATATTTCTGTTTTGAAAAAGGGTGGAATAAACAAAATGTGGTATATATACACGATGAAATAGTATTCAGCCTTAAAAAGAAATGTCATTCTGATGTATGCTACCACATGACGCTAAGTGAAACAAGCCAGAAACAAAAGGAGAACTATTCTGATTCCATGCATAGGAGGTACCTAAAATAGGCAAACGTCCCTATGTCCCTTCCTAGGGACAAAAAGTGGAAGGGTGGTTACCAAGGCCTGGGAGAGGGCGAGGGACTATTTAATGGGTACAGTTTCAATTTGGGATGATGAAAAATTTCTGGAGATGAATGATGGTGATGATTGCACAACTCGAATGCAGTTCGTGCTACTGGACTGTACCCTTACGATGATTAAATTGTAAGCTTTGCATTATGTATATTTTTACCACAGTAAAAAAAAAAAAAGTCTAGATAACAAAATCAAACCTACCTTTAAAAGGTAAAGATTTAATATCACTGATGTTATCAAAAGGATTTGCTACGAAGTGGCCCCAAGTCCAAAGAGAAAGACCCACAATACTCTTTTGGCAGGAGCCAAGCAGCTGGGGGTCAGCTGGGTTAACTTCAGGAGCCTGTCCCTCTGCTCTGAAGGGGTTCCGGGAAGGGACCCCTCCTGTGGCTCTTCTGTCCTCAAGCCTCCCATGACATCGTGAGCCTGCCACCACCGCCACAGGCGCCCCTCTGGGCCCCAGAACTTTCCATAGCACAGCCCAGATTCCCCTGGCCTGGCCCGGGCTGGCCAGCTCCCCCGGCAGTGTAAACAAGGCTCCAGCGTGTCGTGGCTCTGCTGGCCAGGAGGCTGCTGAGGTGGCTTTTTAATCCTCCAGCCATGCCGTCCTAGTGATTGCTTTTATTAGGAAATGTAATGAAAAAGACTATATGAAGCCCCTGCCAGAAAAAAAAAAAAAAAACCTAATAAGATTTTGCACCAAGTGTGGCGAGAAAAGAAAAGGGGGAAAAAGCACATTAGGAGTCAGATAATGAGATAAATGAAAGACCGCAGGGAAGATCATTTTTGCAGACTTGCTGGATGGTTGTAAAATTTTTAATTTGCTGAATTCTCTCTTTTCGTCGTCTCTGGCTCTCCCATCTCTGTCTTTCACGATCATCAGAAGATGCTTTGAGTCTTGTCTGTCTTTATCTGCATGCCGCCCCCTCCCCTTCCTGGGCTGTTTTTCTCCCTCTGTTCCAGCTCTTGCTTTTCAAGAGAGTGTGTGTGTGTGTGTGTGTGTGTGTGTGTGTGTGTGTGTGTGTATGTGTGTCCCCATGGCTAAATCCTGCCTTGTGACTTGGGTAGGAAGCTGGGACCTAGCCAGCCAGGACCCAGTCAGGAGAAAAAAGAGGACAAAGAGCTGCTTCCCCCTCCTTTGCTTCTAGGGAGCAGCTATGATTCAGCTAAAGCAAGAGAAAGAGGGGAAAATCAAGGGAAGAAGGAGGGGGAGAAATGGACTATGGAGGGAGGACAAGAGATCAAAGACCAGGGAAGTATGGAGAAAGAGAAAGCCCCGCTGCTCCGCAAATCGATTCTCGGCAATGCCTGCCTCCCTGTCTGTGCTCTGAGCTCCCGGGCAGAGTGCCACCTCCGTGGGATGCCAGGCCTGAACAGAAGGGCTCTGGGGCACTGAGCAGGCACACAGGCCAGGCTGCTGGGGACCCCCAGGCCTGCCTGGCCCTGCAGAGAGAGGTGCCACTTCCCTAGCACCACCCTCTCGCCACCCACACTTCAAGAAAGTCGTCTCCAAAATACAGTTTCACTACTCGCTTTTCCCTCCTCCTGTTCTGAACTTGGGAATCCTGAGGGGTTTCTTTGCTGCTGTGGGTAAGTCCCAGTTCACAGCTGCAGCTGGAGGGACTGGGGGTGGACACGATGAGTAGTGTCTCCGTCGGGGGTAGGTGGGGGGAGCCTGAGCAGTACAGGAATGAATGGCTGAGGATGAAGACACATCATTAGTTATTAGGAACATCACTGTCACTCCTCCATCCCTTGTGCCTTCCCCAGTGGGGACTATCTGCTCTGTTTCCCTCCCGGGGAATTCATCTCTCTCCGAGCTCTCCCGCCTGCAAAAATGCACTGCCGGTTACCTAGGGAATGGGCGTTCCCTGTACCAGCCAGCGCAGGAGATAAAAGAGCCATGAAAATCCTCAAGGTCCGTGGGAATGAGAGGACCTATTAGAAATCAGGCATGTTGTGCCTCTCACAAAGACAGAGAGTAGATTGGTGGCCACCAGAAGCCGGGAAAAGTAGAGAGGAGGGGGGATGAAGAGAAGTTGATTTATGGATCCAAACATACACCAAGGTAGAAGAAATAAGACCTGGTATTTGATAGATCAGTAGGGTAGCTATAGTTAACATTAATCAATTGTACATTTCAAAAGAGCTAGAAGAGAATAATTCAAATGTTCCTAGCATAAAGAAAAGATAAATATTTAAGGTCATGGCTATCCCAATTACCCAGATTTGATTATTTGAATGTATCAAATTATCACATGTACCCCCAAAATATGTACATCTAATATGTACCAGTAAAAAATGTTGTTAAGTATAGCATAGTAAATACATTTTTAAAAAAAGAAATCAGGTACTTTGTACCCTTTGATCAACATCTCCCCTTTCCCCATCCACCTCCTCCCCAGCCTCTGGGAACTGTCATTCTACTTCCATGAGTTCAACTTTTTTAGATTCCACATATAAGTGACTTAATGTGATGGATTTGTTAATTAGCCTCGTTTAATCATGCCACATTGTAAACATTTATCAAAACATCACGTTGTATCCCATAAATATATACAAGTATGACTTAATTAAAAGTTAAAATTTTTAATTTTTTTTTTTTTAAAATAAGGCAAAAGACCTGGTGAAATCTGATATGTGTCACAACAGCGCTCCAGGAAGTCCCAGGGAAGCCCCCAGGAATGGGGGAGGGGCGAGTGGGAAGGGGTCTGACAGTGGGACCCAAGCCAGGCTGGGCAGAGGAGGAAGAGGGCTGGGAAATAAGGTGGAAAGGGACAGAGATGAGCAGTCCCAAGAGGGAAGATGACATAGGTTCAAGATCAACTGGGAGGGAGCGGCTGCTACTAGACTGTGGAATAGCGTAGGCTGGGAGTCAGAGCCCTGCACGTACAGACCAGCTCATTGAAGTGGGGAAACAAAAGAGCTAATACACACAGTGCGTGCTATGCTCCAGGCACTGCTCTGAGCACCTGAGGATTTTTCCTTCTTTAATCCTCACCACGATCCTCTGAGGTCGGTACTGTTGTTAACGTCTCCATTTTACCCATGAGGAAAATGAATCTATGCTCTTAATCGTGTCTCTCTCCTCCCCCTCCGGAGCAGGACACAGGTCTGGCACTAAAGTATTGAGAGGGAGAAAGGCGCTATAGTTAAGAATGTGAACTTCTCTGCCAGATAGGCTGCCACTTACCCACCCTGTGACCCTGGATCGGGTCCTTAGCACGCAGGTCATCCCTCAGAGGGATGCAAGGAGTGACTGGAAGCGTGTAGGTGAAGCAGGGGCACAGCGCTGGACCCGAGCTCAGTTAACAGCAGGTTTTAACACTGTTACTCTCTGCCTCCCAAGAGATGAAGGAAGCATCTTCGTGCCTGGCAACTATTAATAGCAAGCCTCAACTGCCCACCTGTGACCTCCCACCAGAAACACTGGAGATGGGCTCGACAGTGATCACCTTCCTGGGGACATGCAGTCTTGCCAACGGGCCCAGGGAGGGCCCAGCACGCATGCCACAGCCCCTCTCCCCAGAGCCGACCTCCCCTTGCTCTGTCCCGAACACCCGCCCCAGTCCTATGGGGCATTGTTCCACGGAGCTGTGTCCCACCCTCCTTCCCAGCCTCCTTCCCTCCCCTGGTCCCTGCTTTTC